GCGAACAATTTCCGAATAACTGGAACATATCACTCCTCAAACGATACTATTGCTAAGGTATGACTCTCTCCTTTTTTCATTTATATTTGATACTAACTTATTGCAGGTGTTCGATCGAAGACATCGGGAAATTCTTCAACACAAAGACCTCAGGTTTTAAAGCACGCGTTGCACTCTTTTTCCCTTAGATCGGTTTTTGTCCCAAATGGGTTTTTCCGGTGAGGTTTTTAATGAGGCAACAATTATTTGTGCTACCTGGGGACAATTCAACAGTATCCGAGACTTCTTTACAGTCAACCTCAAATACTGGGGGGTGTAACCCTCGGATGTTATGTTTTCAAGGAAAATACTTTCTGTCGGCAGGGTCTCGATAGGTAAATTTTGTAAAGGACCAAACGGTCAAATGAACCGTGCCCGTGTAGATTACTCGAGCCCTAATGGAAAAACATGTACGCATCAACGATCTATTGAAAGATGCATCTTTTCCCTACCAAGTGTTCCATGACTTAGTGAAATTTCTACTTTACAATTTCATACTTACGATCTATTGCGAAAACCGGCTCAAGAGCCAATCGCAACTAAACCTCGAGCAATTAACCCCGCACTCGGGGACTGCCGTCCGAAAATCGACATGCTCGAATTATTAAACTTCGAAATCATAAGACCTCAAAAAGGCAATCCTCGATTTTATAGGCCATGGCCGCCTCACTCGAGGACTGACACTTTGGACAAGTTTGAAGTATAGCCGAGAAATAAGCCCAAAGGGCAAATCTCAAGTTAAAGGCTATGGCCAAACTAACACGGTTTGGAGACCTCCGAGTTCTGTAATCAAACAGGCCTTCAAACATTATCATAAAACCGGTTAGAAAAAGCTACCCCGGCAAAGTTACAAAGGGTTTAGATAACATCAACCCTCAAAAACCTTAAGAGGTACCAAATTGTTCGAACTCTCGAACAAACTTATGCTAAGGCATAACAAAGTTTTTCGATAATACTGAATCCTAATGGGTCCAGATTTATCTCATGCTAAGGCATAAAAACTTTTTATATGAGTAAAACTTTCTAAGACGAAAAGGGAAAAAGCCACTCTTTTAAGGCCATATCGGCCCGATTCAAAAGCCTAAGGGCCATTAAATTGTTGAGTTCGAGTATCCACCCTCGCTCAACCGAAGCCTAAGGGTTTTTCCTACTCCGAGTTCGAGCAATCACTCACTCGATTATAAAGACTATACCAATCTGACTTCGACAAATTTTTGCAAGGCAACGAAGTGAGTCAAATTTTTTACAAGATATAAAGTATATCAGAATTATCATAAGGCGAAAGTGAAACAGAGTTTTCACAAAACAGAAATCAGAGACAAATCGGAAAGAAAAGGGATCTCTCATATATGCAAAAATATTTACAAAGACCACTCAGGGTCTTACATAAAAAGTCCAAAAAAAAGAAGAAAATATTCTAAATGCCAATCATCCCCGGGAGCCTGATCTTCGTCTTCTCCGCTCTTGGATCCGTTCGCGCTCCCGGAGTCATCATCATTGGAAGAAAGCAGCGCTCTAGCATCGGCCTCAAGTATTATCACCTTCTCGATATCGGCGGCAAGGTCGTAGCCAAGAGCATAAATCTCCTCGAGAGTCTCTCTTCGAGATTGAAACTTGGCATGCTCAACGGCCCAATATGATCGAGTATGGGCTGTGTCAGCCGCTGCCTTTGCTCGAACTTGAGCAGCTTCAGCATCATCTCGATCGACGGCCACCATCGCCTCAGCTTCAGCCTTTATTCTTCCTGCCTCAGATGTGGCCTTTGCAAGCTCAGCGGCCGATCGAGTCTCGAGCTCCTCAATTTTCTTGGCTCGGACCAAGCTCTACTCCTTCATGCTTTGGAGTTGAAGCTCAGCCGAAGATAGCTGGGCTCGAGCAGTATTTTTCTCCGAGGCAAAGCGGTTCATGTTCTGCTTCAACCCCAAAGTCTCTGCCTCCTTCATCATGGCCTCCTCACGAAGCTGCTCGATCTTTTTGGCCTTTTGCTGAACCTGCAGGGTCAAAGTACTAGTCATCATCCCCGAATTGAGACATTGAACTTCTAAGAAAACTCTTCATTACATGTTCGATCAGGTCGGTCTGTTCTTTGTGAGCTTTGGCCAGTTCAGCTCGGAGGTCATTGATCTCCTCTTTTTTTGCCCATTGAAGAGTTTGAGGGCATCTCTCTCCTCAGTGAGCCTTTTGAGATCGTCTTCACACCGTTTAGCTCGGCCCGGGATTTGGAAAACGCTTCTCGATGAAGCGTCATGGCCTATGGAGAAAGAAAGGGAATCAGGCAAAAGGAAATAAAGGCAAACGTAAAACCAATAACGGGAGCTGAAGTCTACCTTGCTCAGGAGTCGCTGAGCCTCATCGAAAATGATCGATGCATCTAGATCGTAAGTATCTTCGACTCCCGCAAAGCAAATGTGGAAAAGGTCCTCTCCCTCGTGGGTCATCCCCACATCGGGGGTCTCCATGGCCTGGGCTTCTTGAATTTGCCCTTCGGAAAATGAGGAGAGGGGCGGTGAATCATCAACGTTTATTGCCCCAAGCAAGTCACTTGGGGCGTTCTCTTCATTCCGAAGGGCCTCAGAACCGGCCCCTTCACGCACATCCGCCGATTGCTCATCACGGCGGGAGGCATCTTCAGCCTCCGAGGACTCGGGGACTTTGCTCGAGCCACCTATCAGGACCTCCTCGGTCCGAGGCTAAACCTCTTCTATCATCACCGGCTTCGCGGCCTTTGGGACCTCTGTGCCCCTTTTTCGAGCCACCAGCTCATAGTGAGCATCTTCTTTTTCCTCTTCTTCATCTCGTAGTCGCTGAGCTACGTCGGCAGGCAGAGTGGCGGTGTCATTCTTTAATTTACGAGCCTTGCTCTTTTTAGGCTTTGGAGTCTCGGAGGGCAAGACACTTTTTCTTTTCTTCTCCTTCGATGGCTTTGGGACCTGGGGTGGTACCTCCTCCTCCCCAGACGGGGGCCTCATGACGATATCTTTCCCAAGGCCTATATGAAAAGAAATCAAGTAAGCATAAGAGGGAAAAACATTTCAAAGCCATCAGATGCATGAAGAAAAGGCTTACCATGATTTTTGGCCTCCTATCGGCCCCTTGCTAAATCGCGCCACGAGCGCTCAGCATACGAAGAGGTCGAAGCTAAGGTCTGAACCCAGCTCTCGAGGTCTGGAATAGCACCAGGCATCCAAGCGACCACTACATCACAAAAAAGGATGTCAGTAAAAAAAGTAAAGGAAACAAAATAGTGAATAAAAGCTAAAGGAAGGATCGACTTATGCTCCATATTCCACTTCTCGGGAAATGGCATCTTCTCGGTCGGAATTAGGTCGGAAGTTTTCACTCGAACAAACTGACCCATCCACCCTTGATACTTGTCCTCATCTATGCTCGAGAACAACACCTTAGTGGCCCGACGCTAAAGCTTTAGCAAACCCCCTCGAAAGAGACGGGGCCTATACAGCCTCATGAGGTGGTCGAGGGTGAAAGGCGACCCTTCTTTTTTGCTCGCAAAAAATCGAAGCAAAATAACAATCCACCAAAAGGAAGGGTGGATCTGGCCTAGGGTTATCTGGTATTGGTGGCAAAAGTCGATGATAACGGGATCGACAGGGCCCAACATGAAAGGATAAGTGTAAACACTCAGAAACCCTTCCACGTGGGTAGTAATGTCTTCCTCGGGAGACGGAATCACCACCTCTTTCTTCTCCCAATGGCAGTCTTCTTTGACCTGCTCGAGGTCGCTCTCAGTTATCGAGCACATGTACCTAGACATCGGCTCACACGGGCCAGGAACAAAAGAAGTCTTCTCAACTTTGAAGTCAGAAGAAAGATCGCACCCCATCTCGGCAACACATTCCTTAGGGCGCGGCTCCACCAGTGTTTTATCACCGGCCAGCCACGATGAAGAAGCCTTTTCCTTTTGAGGAACGGATTTTGGATGTTTTTGCCATTTTTATATGGATTCAGAGAAAGAAGAAGATGAGATTTGTAGTTTTGAAGAAAGGTTGGTAACGAGGCCTAGAAACTATGCAATTACGGAGAGGCTTAATTGGATATGAAGAACTTCGAAGATTTGCAGAAAGATTTGAAAAGCTCAGAAGGATTTTGAAGATTGGTGCAAGAAAAATTCAATGTAAAAGTTTAAAGAAGTGAGAAGGAGACCTATTTAAAGATTCACTGCAATGGTTCAAAGGCACTAGTGGCCGACCATCAACTGACGTTCATTAATGATCTTGGGAACTGAACCGATGCGATGCTTCGGTCGCTTTTGTCGCATACGTCACAAGGGTGACGTCATAATTGGTCGAGGTGTAAAATCGAAGGCTCAGTTCGTTTGTTCTCATTACACTCCAAGAAACGAGGGGACTAGTTGTATACAGATAAAATTGGACTTGTCCGATTTTGCCATTTAATCGAAGACCAAGGAATCACGTCGAGGGTCAGTCTCGTGATGGATAAGGTCAGAACACAAAGATAAAGTATCAAGCTCCCGAATCGAGGTACTCGTCGAATTCGAATTTGGGAAAGAATATGGGTGTTAGTATTAGTGTAAATGGGTATTTGGGTTGGGTTAAATGGGTATGGGTTTAGAATACAATAAAAACGAAAAAAAATTAAAAAAACTTACCTGGCAGCCCCCAGCTTGGCGCCTGGCGCCCTGCCTGGCGCTGGGGTTTTGGAAGATACTGTTTTTGGCGCCACAGGCAGCGCTGGGCGCTGGCCTGGGCGCTGTTCACGTTAAATTTTTTTTTAAATAAACATCCCGATCCCCCGAGCCATATATATACCCAATTTACACGTCCTACACCATTACATCTAAAATTTCTATACCTATAACGAAAATGAAATACTCTACCTATTCTAAAAGAAAAAGTAAGAAGTTAAGCTAGGAAAGCAATAAAAATTGGGTTGCCTCCCAACAAGCGCCTGATTTAACGTCGGGGCACGACGCAGAGTCTCGCTTACTCATCAGCGAGTACAACCTTGGTCTTCTCATGATTTATCACTCCTACCCAATAATGCTTGACTCTATGACCATTCACCAAGAATTTCCTCTCACCATTTAAAGCTCGCAGCTCGATTGCACCATAAGGAGTGACTCTCACCACCTCAAAAGGACCTGACCATCTTGACTTTAGCTTCCCAGGGAACAGCCGTAGTCTAGAATTGAATAATAATACATGTTGTCCTGGCTCGAAGTGACGCGGCTTGATATGCTTGTCATGCCATCTTTTTGTCTTTTCTTTATATAGCTTAGCATTTTCATAAGAGTGCAGCCTGAACTCATCTAACGCATTCAACTGCATAAGCCTTTTCTCGCATGCGGCTTCAAGGTCCATGTTCAGCTTTTTAATGGCCCAGTATGCCTTATGTTCCAGTTCGACGGGCAAGTGACATGCTTTCCCATAAACCAGCTTGTAAGGGGACGCTCCAATTGGCATTTTATATGCAGTCCTATACGCCCATAAGGCATCATCTAACTTTGCAGCCCAATCCTTCCTATTTACACTCACCGTCTTCTCTAATATCTGCTTAATTTCTCTGTTTGACACCTCAGCTTGCCCACTTGTCTGAGGATGATATGCTGTAGCAACTCTGTGGCGAACTCCATATTTAGCTAGAAGGTTATTCAACAGTCGATTGCAAAAATGAGCCCCTTCATCACTGATTAAAGCACGTGGAGTCCCAAATGTTCTTCTTCACAAAAGCTGCTACCACCATGGCATCATTCGTTGGCAAAGCAATTGCTTCCACCCATTTTGACACGTATTCAACTGCTAGCAAAATGTATTTGTTTCCTCTGGACGGTGGAAATGGCCCCATAAAATCTATCCCCCACACATCAAAAAGCTCAACTTCTAGAATGTTATTTAAAGGCATCTCATGCCTCCTTGTGATTGTTCCCGTTCTCTGACATTGGTCACACTTCTTAACGAATGCATGGGCATCTTTGAATAAAGTTGGCCAAAAGAGACCGGATTGTAACACCTTTGCAGCTGTTCTATCTCCTCCATGATGGCCCCCATAAGGTGATGCGTGACAATCATACAACACTAATTCCACCTCTTTTTCAGGAATGCATCTCCTCATCAACTGGTCAGCACATTGCTTGTACAAATAGGGCTCATCCCAGTAGTAGAAGTTCACATCATGTAAAAACCTCTTTCTAGCTTCAGATTGGATTTCTGGAGGAAGTACCCCACTCACAAGATAATTCACATAGTCTGCGTACCATGGGGGAGGGTCTTGGGTTATAGCAAAAAGTTGCTCATCAGGAAATACTTCTTTAATTTGGCCACCCTCCTCCACGTGATCGTGATTTTCCAACCTTGATAGATGGTCAGCTACTTGGTTCTCTGTCCCCTTTCGATCTCGTATTTCTACATCAAACTCCTGCAGCAATAAAACCCAGCGCATCAATCTAGCCTTAGATTCCTTTTTTGTAAACAAATACCTAATTGTTGCATGATCGGTATGGACTATGACTTTCGTTCCCACCAAGTATACCCGAAATTTCTCAAAGGCCCACACAACAGCTAACAACTTTTTCTCAGTGGTGGTGTAATTCAGTTGTGCATCATCAAGAGTCTTGCTTGCATAGTAGATGGAGTAAAACACCTTGTCCTTCCTCTGGCCTAGCACTGGCCCAATAGCGAGGTCACTCGCATCACACATAAGTTCAAATGGTAAAGACCAATCGGGTACCACAATAATGGGAGCAGTCACCAACTTCTTTTTAAGTTCTTCAAATGCCTTGAGGCAAGCATCATCAAAGTTGAAAGTTACATCTTTTTCAAGTAGCCTGCACAGAGGGGTAGCAATTTTCGAAAAATCTTTAATAAAGCACCGATAGAAACCCGCGTGTCCCAAGAAACTCCGGACACCCTTCACTGAAATAGGTGGAGGTAATTTTTCAACCGCCTCCACCTTCGCTTTATCAACTTCAATGCCACTCCTAGATACTCTGTGACCCAACACGATGCCTTCTTATACCATAAAATGGCACTTTTCCCAATTCAGTACCAGATTTGTTTCTTCACACCGGGCTAGCACCTTACTTAAATTGCTCGAGCAATCATCATAAGAAGACCCAAAAACTGAAAAATCATCCATAAACACTTCCACGAATTTTTCCACCATGTCGGTGAAAATAGCCATCATACACCTCTGGAAAGTGGCTGATGCATTACAAAGACCAAACGGCATTCGCTTGAAGGCAAAAGTGCCATAAGGACAAGTAAACGTAGTCTTCTCCTGATCCTCTGGGCATATGACAATCTAATTGTATCCCGAATAACCATCAAGAAAGCAGTAATATTCATGCCCGGCTAACCTGTCTAGCATTTGGTCAATGAATGGAAGTGGGAAATGGTCCTTGCGATTTGCCTTGTTGAGCCTTCTATAATCAATGCAGACTCTCCACCCCGTAATAGTGCGAGCGGGGATTAGCTCATTCTTCTCGTTCTCGACTACAGTCATTCCTCCCTTTTTGGGCACACATTGAACCGGGCTTACCCAGTTGCTGTCAGAAATAGGAAAAATGATACCTGCATCGAGCAACTTGATTACTTCCTTTTTCACCACCTCTTTCATAATGGGATTTAATCTCCTCTACTGCTCCATACTGGGCCGGTGTCCGTCCTCTAAAAAGATTTTATGCATGCAAAATGATGGACTAATACCCTTGATGTTAGCTATAGTCCACCCAATGGCCTTTTTGTGCTCGCGGAGTATTCTGAGCAGCTTTTCTTCTTGAGTGCTGGTCAAGCTGGATGAAATAATCACAGGCAATGTCTCACAGTTCCCCAAATAAGCATAGCGCAAATGCGCTGGAAGTGGCTTGAGTTCTAGCTTCGGAGCTTCTTCAATAGATGGCCTGGGAAAGGTCAGAGTAACAGGCCTGTCCAACTCTTCAAATTTTCTAAACCCATGTACATAACTACAGGACATATCCAGTACTTGCTCAATTTCTCCTATCATTTCATCTTCACTATTTTCTACATCCCCAATCAATACTCGCTCAACAGGATCTGCAGGGCTCATATAGGGTACTAACGATGTGGCATCACTCTCCACCACAGAGATCATGGATAACTCTTCATAGTGGGCTGGTAACTTGAGTGCTCTATAAACATTGAAGACCTCCACTCGATCACCCACTCTCATTGTCATCCTTCCTTCGCAGACATCGATAATAGCTCGGCCCGTGGCTAAGAATGGACGCCCCAAAATAAATGGGACTTCATGATCAGGCTCGTAATCCAAGATAATGAAATCATCAGGGAATATGAAGGAACCCACTTGAACTAGGACATCTTCAATCACTCCCTCAGGATAAGCAAGGGAGCGATCAGCTAACTGTAAGATAACTGTTGTTGGGCGTGGCTCACCCAACCCCAACTGTCTGAACACAGATAGCGGCATCAAATTGATGCTTGCTCCAAGATCACATAAAGCTCGCCCAACCGCATGTTTACCAATCCAGATTTGGATAGTGAAACTACCTGGATCTTTCAATTTCTGAGGTAACTTGCCTTGAATTCTGGAACTGCACTCCTCAGTGAGTGCCACAGTCTCGAACTCGGACAGCCTCCTTTTATTTGCCACAATATCCTTGACGTACTTTGCATATTTGGGTACTTCTTGTAAGATGTCAACCAATGGAATATTAATTTGCACCTGCTTCAAGATATCAAGAAACTTTTAGCATTATCTCTTAATTTTTGCAATCTTTGAGGGAATGGAGGTGGTGGCCTTGCAACCAATTGTGGGGGTTGCTCAGCCACCGCCTCTCCAGCTGGTTTCTCTGGCTCCTTAGCTTTTTCTGATGTTCATTCTATAGTGGTTGGATTCTCATTAAAAGTCACATGTTTCCTCTTTTTAGACAGAACTTCTTCTAGTTGTCGCCCATTCCTCAACGACACGGCATTAAGGGCCGCCCTAGGATTTGCTTCAGTGTCACTTGGAAGAGCTCCAGCTGGTCTAGTGTTTTGAGCACTGGCAAGCTGTCCCATTTGACGCTCCAAATTTCTCACTGTTGTGGCGAGGGCTTGCTGTTCAGTCATCATTTTTTTCAACATGTCTTCAAGGTGACTTGTAGAACTCGCTTGTTGTTCAACCTGAGGTGGTCTATATTGCTGTAGGTGCTTGAGGCCTGTATTGATTCTGAGTGCCCTGGTTTCCACCCCAAGAGAAGTTTGGGTGGTTCCTCCAGTTGGGATAGTAAGTGTTCCCATATTGTCTTGTTTGGCCCCTATTTGAATTACTCACAAAGCAGACAGACTCTGGGTTTGCGGGGTATATGTCGCTCGTGTGCCCCTCTCCACATATTTCACAAAAAGCTTGAACCTGTTGCACCGGTTGTACTTGTTGCTTGTTGATACTCAAGTTCATCTGATTGACTTGATTGGTCAGTGTAGAAATCTACGCTGATAATGCTGAGACGACATCTAACTCAAGAACCCCTGCAGACTTTTGCACTGTGTGTCTGCCCATCTCTCCTTGCCAATCCGGATTGCTCTTAGAGAATTTGTTCAATAATGCATATATCTCGTCAAAGCTTTTCTCCAACACTTGACCCCCTACTGCAGCATCTACTACGATCTTTGTTTCAGAATGTAGCCCTTCTATGAAAGTGTGAGCTAACACTTCATTCGTCTGATTGTGATGAGGACAGTCTCTGAGTAGACCCTTGAACCTTTCCCAAGCTGAGTATAAAGATTCTCCCGCTTTCTGTTTGAAGGCAACTATCTCACTTCTGATCTTTGCAGTTTTGCCTTGCCAGAAATTTTCTTGCTAAATCATTCCATGATGCAATGGAATTAGCTTGTTCTGCTTTTAGCCATCGCTTAGCCTCGCCCAACAGAGAGAATGGAAAAAGTGTGAGCCTCACATAATCTGGAGTGACCCCGTTAGTGATATAAGTATCACTAATCTCCAAGAAGTTCAGAATATGCTGCTGTGGATCCTCGCGTAGGAGACCCATAAATTGCCCGTTCGCATGAAGTAGCTGGATCATGCTCTGTTTCAGCTCAAAGTGCCCAGTGATTCTGGGCTTCACGATACTGGAGGTGACATTAGCAATGCTGGGCATCGCCACCTCCTAAACAGCCATGGGTTGCTCCTCTGCCAGGTCCACAGGAAATTGAACAAGTGCCTGAATATTATTCGTGTCCCTTGCTTCCCTCAACCTCCTGTGAAATTTTCTCTCAGGTTCAGGATCAAAGCCTTCAAGTCGGTCCTGGCTTCTGACCCTACGCATTCAATCAATGTTCCTGAGATCTGAGCTACAATCAAGTAACGTTAGACTAGACGAAATAAACAATTAAAGCAAAAACTAGCAAGTAGCTAATATTCAAGTCCCCGGCAACGGCGCCAAAAACTTGTTGCTCCCAAACGCACACGCAAGTATACATGGTCGACATGTAATATAATGATACGTTGAGCGTCGAACCCGTAGAGACTTGTGTAAACTACTCACTATATCACTAAAATTGTTATTCAGTCTAGCTAAAAGCAAAGTCCAATAATATGATTATACTATTCTACGATTCTAAATAATAACTAAATTATCAAGTAACGAGTTGATTGTTGTGTATTCAGTGGAGACAAATATTCCAGGGTTGTGTTCGATTCACCAATCGTATTGTGTTCTAATTAACTCTCCCCTTCATATAATTCACTCATGATTGCTAATTAATCGATAAATGCTCTCATAGCCTTCTCCCGAAGTACTACTCACATATTCTCAATAGATTAACACCTATATTCCTATGAAATCAATCTATTAAGAACGCATTAAGATCACGATATTTAATTAAGCACGGTGACTAGGTATATTCCTATCCTAACCACAAATCCACTCCCCCTAAGGGTTAAGATCATGCTCTCTTCAATTCTTCTCTAATCTAAACACTGCTTTCCCAAGCATAGCATAGATAGTAAATAGAACCTAACTGCTGGCCAGACAATTAAGCAATTAAACACAGATCTGAAGAAACAACCATATGTTGGTGAATTATAATCAAGGTTAAGTTAATATCAAACAACAATATTCATGGCTAAATCACAACCCCAGAACAATGGGTGTTTAGCCACTCATGATGTAATCAAACAACTGCATAAGTTTTGATTAATTGAAAATACTGGAAAAGATGAAGAATTCCGAGTTGTTCTTCCTCCTCAATGTTTCTAGCGTGTATTTTTGCTCCAAAGTGCGTCTCTCCCCCATAAAATTAGGCTTAGTCTTCCTTTTATACGTGTTGGATAGGTCTAGGGTCGAATAAATCCTGTCCCGTGCGAAATAGGCCAGACTTCACGTAACTGGCGCCCAGCCCGGCGCCAGGTGCCCCCAATAGCGCCCAAATATTTTTGATACTGTCTCCAGCGCCACAAGTGGCACCAGGCGCTGCCTGTGGCGCCCAAATGGCCCTTTTTCGATTTTTGTTCGTTTTAGCTTCAAACCTTGTATGTTTTGCCCCCAATCGCTCCCGAATCATTCCTACAAGTAAAAACACTTCAAATTAATATAATTCATAGCATTTAACATCCCAAATTCAAGAAACAAGATTAAAATATGAGGCGATATACATAAAAATATATATACTTTAAGCTAAACATCAGCAGACTTCGAGCGAAGAGCAATAATGGAAAGGCGAGATATCCGTAACCGGTCGAAGATCACGGCGAAATCCCAGAACAGACCATATCAAGGGCGATTGTTTAGGCTAATCATGAGATTTAATTCTGTAATTAGCTAGAGTTATACCATAATTAGGATTCCTCTACTATATAAAGAGGAGTCCCTTTCATTTGTAGACACCCTTACATTCACGAATATCAAAGCAATATAATATTTCTCAGCTTACTTTCTTGTTCATCAGCTTACTGTGCCTTTAACTATTCTTGCATACCTAGCTCGAGGGTGTTCGAGCTCGAGAGCTCTGTCCAAACGCCGGTTTGCTTTATATTATTGTTAATTTGCATCACTTATCTTTACGTTTATTAATTGGTATTAGGTGAAATCACATATCCTTATAACCACATTATAAGTTTAATTGTTATCCAATTTTAGGGTAATCAATTTCTTTATGAAAACAAAGTTTCATTCAATTACGGTGATTATGAATAGAGAAGATGAAAGTAATTGCAAGGATTGGAAAGGTTGCCGTTGTACAACTTTACTGAGGAGTCGAAAGGGTGCATCCGCACATCCATTTACTCGGTTCATTGTAAATGTCTTTTTACACAATTGTCTTCTCATTTACCTGATTTGTAGCACACTTAGTACACATATTATCATTTATTGAAAGATAAATTTACTTTTTGGTACAAAAATATTATAGGAGTAAAGTTCTCAAAGGAAGGATAAAATGGCCATCTAAATTTTTATAGATACTTTGGTAATTTAAGTTTAGCTTTACAAGCTTCCTACTTTTAGTATAATATTAATTAATAATTATATTAGTATTAATATATATATATGGTAAGGTTCTAGTCAAAAGTTGCAATTTGACTATATCCGTAAAAAAATCTAATTCTTGAAAAAGTTCCTGAAGAGACATGTAGAGAAAGCACAGTATTCAAGAATAGTAGCCTGTTTGGCCAAGCTTCTCAAGAGGCCAAAAGTGCTTGTTTTCCCAAAAGCACTTTTTTCCCCAACTTGTGGTGTTTGGCCAAGCTTTTTTGAGGAAAAAAAGTGCTTTTGGGAAGAAGCAGAAGCAGTTTCTGAGAAGCAGAAGCAGTTTCTGAGAAGCAGAAAAAAGTAGTTTCTTCCCAAAAGCAGAAGCAGTTTTGACTTTTCTTCTTACCAAAATGCCCTTAACAAAATATAGTATATACCAAAATAACAGTAACCTAATACTTAGGACATTAATGTATAAGTATTTCTTCTTATTTTTATGATAGCTTTGTAATATATTAGTGGCTTTAGGGGTGAATGCTTTTATATTTGTTGAATAATTTTTAATATATTTAACTTATATTAAAAGAATTAAGTACTTTTTAATTTTGTTTTCATATTTTACTTAAATAAAAATGAAAAGATTTAATTATTGCATGTAATAACAAACTTTTGAAATTATTTATTTACTTATAATATTAACTATAAAGTAAATCTATTCATGTCCTTATTCGTAATTTGATACTTAAAAGCACTTGTCAAACACAAATTATTGTTCAAAAGTGCTTTTTCAGAGTAATTAGCCAAACACAAATTATTTCTCTCCAAAAGTACTTTTTTCAAAAGCACTTTAAAAAAAGCACTTTTCAAAATAAGCTGATTTCTCCAGCTTGGCCAAACAGGCTATAGGAAAGGAATGTGCAATATGAGTGACCACAGTGCTCCTCAACATGGAATAAGATTTACTTGCATTCCTTTTCCATTTTGAGTCCTATAGTGATGTTGTGATTGAGATATAGTGGGCGTTTGGACATAAGAATTGTAAAATTTCAAAAAAGAAAAAGTGAAAATGGTATTTGAAAATTAGAGTTGTGTTTGGACAAGAATATAATTTTGGGTTGTTTTTGAAGTTTTGTGAGTGATCTGAGTGAAAATTGTGAAAAATAGCTTTTTGGAGTTTTTCAAATTTTCGAAAAATTTCAAAATGCATCTTCAAGTGAAAATTGAAAATTTTATGAACAAACGCTGATTTGGAAGAAAAGTGAAAAAATTTCGGAAAAAAGGAAAATTTTTCATATGTAAAGTCATTATCGGCTGATCATTATTAAAGAATAAAAATATCTCTTTATACATTTCTCATGTCACGCATCTCAGTATCCAATCATTTTGCCTCTTCAGCAATCGGCAGACCAATTGAGAGGTACTATGTACATGCATGAAGGTATAGATGATATTAACACAGCTACAAAAAAAACTTGGCTGAAGCATATATAATATTGTGGAAAATATTTAGGATAGCTCATACTCTTTGTTTTATTGAGAACCAACATATACCTTTTATTGAATTACACAGCAAACTTAAACCTTGCCATTGTTAATTCAGAAACCAACCATGCTACAACTTGATTATGTTCGCTTCTTCCTCCAAAGGTTTCATTACTTGAT